CAAATTTTTAGGAAAAAATTATTGTACAACACAAATGAGTATAACTTTTATACCTTAACTTTAAGTGAACAGTAATAGTTAGTTTAGTTTGAAATAAAATGTTAAATTTATGTGCACTTTTTCATTATGACATCTTTATTAGTTTCTGAAATATCTTGATAAATGTTGAGAACAAATTTAGCTATTTTCCGCACAAAATATTGACATTTGCAATCAATATCCATGGCAAAAATGTTGATTTTAGTCCCCAAAATTAATTTCCCTTCAATCTTTAATTAGTATGTACCTTGCGACAGCGGCCACCCCCGTGGCAACAGCTTTGATGCAGTGTCGCAGACAGACAGATGGTCTTTTCCCTCTTAAGATAGATGAGGGAAAAGATGAGAGAGCATACAGAATTACTTGCAAAGATGACAGAGTCTTGCCCAAGATGCATATAGAAGATAATATAATGACGGAACCCATGGACATATCAAATTATAGGTGACACAGAGACAGACATACAAATGAGAGACATAGGCACTCTAACATGCAGGCAATACTGCAAAACTTAGCTTGCTTTAACAGTTTAGGTCCCCATAAAGTCCAATTTTGCCTGGCAGGTAACCGACCCACAACACAGCCGACAAACAGACCGCACGCTAACACATTTCAGAGGTGAAAGGTCGTGGCAAGTCAGTCATGGAAAGATGAGAGCGGTGAAGAAATCATACCAGGGTGAAGAAAAATGATAACAAAAAAGGGAGGAAGAAGGAGAGAGAGAGAGAGAGAGAGAGAGAGAGAGAGAGAGAGAGAGAATGGACAGTTATTTGAGGACCGTGAAGCTGGTCGGTCAACAAGAATTTGCACTTGTGAACAGAGAGCAAGAGAGCCGACTATTTGTAGAAAACTTGGTTAAGCTTCGCTAGAAGAGATATTTCTACAGGACGTTAAGGGGCAGTTGAGAAACAGTCGAGAAGAGCTAATAACCTGCTCGTAGTGAAGAAACGTTTTAGCAACTTATATTGGAGTATAGGAAGAAGCATCACCGTGTTAAAAGAACTTATCATAGTATGTAAATACAAAGCAACAATAACTTGAAGAGTCCGTCGTTATTAATATTGAATAACTGTCAACACTAAATGAACATTGCGCTTTATAACAAACAGATTTAATTGCAATTGATTTGTTGGATCACTGGCCGTGTTGTTAAACACGTTCAAGAGGTAAACCAAGACTATCTGAATCACTTGTTCCATCTAGGCATGCTTATACTTGGGAAACATGGAAATATAACTGTGTCACACTTGCAGTTTGTCACATATTTTAAATAAAATGTCACCAATGTATCGGCGGCAAAAGACCAAATCATTGGCACACGTGGATCTGTTCTGTTCAGTGTATGCCACGTTCAGTATGTGCCGTGAAGATGTCAGCCAGGAAGAGACCAATGAGCTCCCTACCCCTTCGGCTATTCCATCAATTTGTTGGTGTCTTTTTTCAGGAATTTATAAAAATTAGTTGTGCATAAGAGTAACAAGTCTCACCAACGTTGATGTTGGAATATCCAGTTTTGAGTTTTTTTCTCCTTATGCAACAAATACTATCAGGATAGTTTCTTCTAATGGCACACTGGTAAACAAAGATGATATTTCTATTCATTAGTTAGTCGTTCCGGTTCCGGCATCACAGCAAACGAGCTTGGCCCATAATTGCTCAACCGCCTATGCCAGTCTTCTTCGATCCTTCTGTCAGAAAACTTATATCAGGAGGCCGGTAGCCTTTATGAAAGTATCGTGCAATCCATATCCTTTCGTGTACCATACAGTTTTGTCTTCAGTGTGGTTGGAACAGGCCAGATTGCGTCTCTGTTGTCAGCATACAGTTGACAGTGTTGGAGCACATGCTCAGCATTTTCGGGTGCCACATCTCCGTATTTCCTACACAGAAAAATTTGAACATATGTTGACGAAATCTGTTGTGCCCTGTCCTTAGTCTGAATATAATACACTATCCCTCTCTAGAGAGGCGATGAAGTGAGTCTTGGGGAGAAAATCTGGCGTGGGTATCCAGCCACCTTACTTGGATACTAGATTTTATTAGTGTTTTCATCTCTTGGTGGGTTAAGTCGCTATTTGGTTGTACCATGTCACTGCCGCTTCTGGCCAATCTGTCAGCTATTTCATTGCCTTCCAAGCCACAGTGACCTGGAATCCACTGCAGTTCAGATTGTTCTACTGAAGAGCCCAAGTAAATCAGCTGTTGCGACAAGTCTACAAACTGAGTGTCTTTTGGGTTAACAATTGCTTGTAGAACTGACATAGCGTCAGTCAGAAAGACCACTCTGCTATATTTGCTGTGCTCTTGTTTATTCAGGAAAGAACATGCCGTTAGAAGTGCTTCTGCATCCGCTCTGTAATTGGAGGAATATGAACCTGTTGGTACAGCCTGGTTGATTTTTACACCATTTGGGCATTCTATGTATATTCCTCCTCCTCCGTCTCTTACTGGTCTCTTGGCTGAACCATCTGTGTACACTCGAATCCAACTCTGGTGTGGATAAAGTCTATTGATCTCTCCTTCTGTAGTTGATTTCATATCAGTGCTGCTCATTGATGATTTGGAGGAGACCCCTGTTAAAGTGGTTCTGACTGTTGGTAGGCTATCCCTAAGCCAAGCAGGGCAGTCGTTGAAAGGTTTAAGTGGAACATTTGGTATTATGGGAGGGGGTTTAAGGACGGCGAGCTTGTCATTTGCATTCTTAATAAAACAGGTTCTCTTTAGTCTAGCCTTCTGGGGTTTCTGCAGTCGGCTGTACATGGGTTGTTCTTGAAAGTGGTATTTGGAGAGCTAGGTGAGGAGCTTTGTGTCTCTCCTATCTTCCAGATTATGGAGACCAATAATTGTTTCCATATCTGATATGGGCGTGGAGCGCATTGCCCCTGTCATAATACGGATGGCATGGTTTTGGATATTTGAGACTTTCTGAAAATTTGATTTAGCTGCTGTGCCCCAAGCAGCTATTCCATATTCTAGTGTTGGCCTCACATAGCCTGTATAGGTCCTCTTAAGGACATTGAGGTTTGCCCCCCCCCCCTCCCCCCCCCAGTCTGTTCCAGCTAACTTCCTCATCAGTTGTGTTTTCTTGAGTCCCTTGCTCTGTGTCTTTTCAATCTGTTTTCTCCATGTGAGTCTTGGGTCAAAGGTTACTCCTAAATATGACGGTGAGTCATCATGTATCACTGCCTGGCTGCCAGTGATTCCAGTCACAAACTGAGTCAGATGCGCTGGATACTTCAGGTGAATGCCGTAACCATACAAAGTGTCCTCAGTCAGCAAAACACATGTGATTTGATCTGGCAGATCAATAGGTGCATGTCTCCTTAAACACACTGCGAGACCAGGCGTCATCGCTGAAAATCAACTTCATTCGACGAATAGCTGGGCGAGGAGTAGATTAAAATTATTCCTGACCATTCTCCACATGTCCTCGGCCAAGTTGCAGCCACGGCCAGCAAATAAATAGCAGCTATAGCACACGCCTTGTCCCAGGAACACAACAAAGAAAAATTCATCACCCATCATTGCCATTATATACGAATCTGGAACTCAGTCAATAACCGATAATCACAGCTCATAGTGCCGCCAGGAGCACTAAACTCAGTAGCACCAGCTGCAAATCGGACTTCCACAATCTTGCAACATCGAAACTGGAGGAGAAACGGCGACGAGAACCGTCAACAAAAGCCAAGTTCTCAACCGTCATCCATTCCCTATCAATGTCGGAACCGGAAGCCATGTCTATTCATGCCATATGTTATTGTTTTAAATTAATGGTTCTGAGCAATTCAGTTATTTCACAAATATCTTGTAATTTTATGTTTTCAAATGACTGCTTTACTGTTCTTAGTACTTGAGCTAACCATTTCCCTAATTTAAACCTAAATGTCCCGATGGTTAATATTATGCAGGCCAAACTTACTCCCACTGATTTCTTTCCTGTTACCCCTTCTAGCTTGGGTCATTTATTTTTAACAACAAACAACCTGATAAGAGATTACAGACAGAACTGGAGACCAGTTGATACTAACACTAACACCCTGACTAATCTTTGCAACATTTTTATTGTCATTATGTCTCACTCAGTGCATCAAGGAAGAATATGTTTGTATGTACAACTGTCTTGGAACACTGTGACTGTACATTATGTATACATGAATTACAAGTTTATGTCAACAAATAGCCTATTTTTTCCAAACATATTGGTTTAAATTACTAACAGTGTGACTATTTTTTTAATCATTTTTTTTTCAAATGCAAGTATAGGTAACAGCTCCTTAATACTCATACAGATTAGGTTTCCATAATGCAGGCTCTGATGATCTTATGTCTGTGGGACTGATTCTATAGAGATAGTATGTTTTATGTTCCCACAATATTCTTCAATATTCTAATGCAGATGAGGATCCCATGTTATTCATGTTATACAACAAAGGAAACTCCAATGACAGTCTTAGCTGACATATCACAGCTGTCAGCAATACATAAACTAGATATTTCTCTCTGACCTCCACTGATATTCCAGTGAGATGCTACCTGAAGGTTCGACCACCCTAATAATCTCAGTTAAGACAGCAAGCTAACAGGGCAAACCACAGGTGCCCCAATCAACATCCAAAGAAGTTATAATGGCACATCTACACCAGGTATAACCTGGTATCCTGGACAAATAAGGATGAAGTTCTTACACAACACACACAAACTCTCTCTCTCTCCACCTGTTACATTCTTTAAGATTCACCAGCTGATTTGCTCATTCATGTCTCCATAAATGTATCATTAAAGTGGGGAGCAGGTACTTTTGTGCCAAGAAACGAAACGGCAAGAAGTAAATGAGCAGGTCATTCTACCTAATATCCCTTGGTATTTGACACATCTGCAGTGGTATTTGCTATGATCTTTTCCTTGACCCCTGTCACTTTAGTGTTCATGTTTACATGACAAGTAAATAAAATCTAGACTTACTGAACATTATCATTATACATAATTCTTAAATGATGCAGAAACTCATCAATCCCTAATAATTTTTTAGCTGACACTCCTAAAATAGGTATGCAAGATGTTATTCCCACATCAGTCTCTCTACTCAAAAAACATTTTAATTCCTCTAACTTCTCAACAGCCCCTGGGATATCAATTTTATTCCCCACTAACAAACTTGGTCTGTCAGCAAGTCCATCCTGATACTGGTTGAGTTCATAGCGCAAGTGGGTCAGCTGTTCCCAAGGATAATCAATGGACAGGTCAATGACATAGACAAGGCACAAGCAACGCTCGATATGCCTCAAAAAGCTGATACCAAGTCCTTTGTTCTTGTGTGCACCGGGAATCAATCCTGGGATGTCAGCAACTGAAATTTAGTTAATAAAAATGCAGCTACAAAACAATGATGCTTTTCATGTAATTATTGAAATATTATGTTAAGGTGACAAATGTGGACACTAACCAAAGAATATGAAAGAAAACTCTAGCTGTGAAATGAGATGAGATAATTGAGAATGGCTGCAATAAAACTAGATTAGACTGTGAGAAATGAAGAGATTAGAAGAGCTATTGGAACTATAACCATTCTTAAATTCAACTGAGAACAAAGAATGCCATAGTTCAATCACTTAGTGAGGCTAAGAGCCCTGTCCATATCTGACAATCATCAATAATGCTGATTCAAATGTATATAATCAACAGGCAAGCATTCTGTACGGTTTAATCAAGGTTTAGTCAATCCAGCCTTACAGTGATATTGTACACAACAACCAATGAATGGTGTATACAAATTATGGGACTAGCAGCATGCAGTTAATATGCCTACAAGCATGGAAATGGAAACTTCTGTTATATTTTTAACTGTGCATATTCATGGACAGATACAATGTTTTTCAGTCACATAATATACTCATACAAATTTTTACGGCTATCATTAAACATACACTGCAATTTTAACTGATGTTATAAATGAAATTGTGCACTCAGCTGACAACACCTAGTATGATGTAAAGGAAGAGAAAGATAGTGCACTGAGCTTGCATCAGCTAGTTTGATATGAAGGAAGAGGTAGCTTGTGCCCTGAGCTGATACCACTTAATATGATATGAAGGAAGGACTCCAGGTAGTATAATATGAAGGAAGAGATGGTTTGTGCACTGAGCTGACATCACCTAGTAAGATATGAAGTAAAAGCCAGCTTGTGCATTGAGCTGACATCACCTAGTATGATATGAAGGGAGAGACAGTTTATGCACTGAGCCGAAACCTCTAGTATGATATGAAGGGAGAGACAGTTTATGCACTGAACCTATACCACGTAGTATGATATGAAGGGAGAAATAGTTTGTGCACTGAGCTGACATCACCTAGTATGATATGAAGGGAGAGACAGCTTGTGCACTGAGCTGACATCACCTAGAATAATATGAAGAAAGAGACAGCTTGTGCACTGAGCTGACACCACCTAGTATGATATGAAGGAAGAGACAGCTTGTGCACTGAGCTGACACCACCTAGTATGATATGAAGGAAGAGACAGCTTGTGCACTGAGCCGAAATCCCTAGTATGATATGAAGGGAGAGAGTTTATGCACTGAGCTGACATCACCAAGTGTGATATGAAGGGAGAGACAGTTTGTGCAATGAGCTGACATCACCAAGTGTGATATGAAGGGAGAGACAGCTTGTGCACTGAGCTGACACCACCTAGTATGATATGAAGGAAGAGACAGCTTGTGCACTGTGCTGACATCACCTAGTATGATATGAAGGAAAAGACAGCTCATGCACTGTAGTATGATATGAATGAAAAGACAGCTTGTGCACTGAGCTGACATCACCTAGTGTGATATGAAGGGAGAGACAGTTTTTGCACTGTGCTGACATCACCTAGCATGATATGAAGGAAAAGACAGCTCGTGCGCTGAGCTGACATCACCTAGTATGATATGAAGGGAGAGACAGTTTGTGCACTGTGCTGACATCACCTAGCATGATATGAAGGAAAAGACAGCTCGTGCACTGAGCTGACATCACCTAGTATGATATAAAAGAAAAGACAGCTCGTGCACTGAGCTGACATCACCTAGTATGATATAAATGAAAAGACAGCTTGTGCACTGAGCTGGCATTCCCTATTATGATATGAATGAGAAAGCAGCTCGTGCACTGAGCTGACATCACCTAGTATGATATAAATGAAAAGACAGCTCGTGCACTGAGCTGACATCACCTAGTATGATATAAATGAAAAGACAGCTCGTGCACTGAGCTGACATCACCTAGTATGATATAAATGAAAAGACAGCTTGTGCACTGAGCTGACATTCCCTATTATGATATGAATGAGAAAGCAGCTTGTGCACTGAGCTGACATCACCTAGTATGATATGAAGGAAAAGACAGCTTGTGCACTGAGCTGACTTCCATTAGTACGATTTAAAGGAAGAGAATGAAACTCTAAAGGATACTTTACAGTTCAATAAAGATGGTAAAAAAAAATACTGGTGCCATTTTCAATGCACACAACCTGATAAACTACTTTATAGCTGTCTCTATTACTGTCTGTTTTATTTTGATATGATATGCTACCAAAATATTCCTCTGTTTTCCACAATTATAACAATATGTTTGATTGCACATTCGCTATCCATAAAAATATGCATCCCTCTGTTTCATATACAATATGATGTACAGTGTGTGACCAAAAAGTTTTGCGACCAACTGTTTTCACACATACTACTTCTTATTTGGACAGTATTAATATTTTTCCTTCAAAATGCATACCTTGTTGATCAACACATTTATTTGTATGCTCCATCAACTTCCTCACACACTCATTAAAAAAAGTGTTTATAAATTTAATATTTCGTTTATTAAGAATATTGTAAATCTGAGATTCTTTCTCTTAAAAGAAATATATACCTTTTAGGTGACAATGAGAGATTTTCCGTTCTATGTTAGCAAATCCATTTGCACAAACAAGAACAGACAGTGCTGGGATGAGATAATTTAGTAACAATGAGAATAAACTCTGAATAAATGAATGAATAAACGAATGAATGAATTTTGCCCATAAGTGTGACGATCTCCACTTGCCAGTTTTTCCATACAAAATAGCCACTGAAAGATTTTTTTGTTGGGTGAAGCAATATTTCCTGTTGTAATTGTGAGGTCTTCCAGATGTCACTGTGTGTCATTTTTGTATGCCATGGTTGTGTCCACAGCAAAAAAAAATTTCGAGACGAAAGGAGTTAATTCTTTTTTCTGTTTGTATTTACTGTCCATTTCCCTTCAGGAAAGCTATGCCAGTAGAACTGAAACAAATGCCTAATGATTTTTTAAAACAATTTTTTTAGTAACTGATGTAGTGAAGGAGGCGATTCTGCAGTGAGTGGCAGACTTTTGTTTTTCACCCTTGTGAAAATAATGTTTCAACCACCTGGTTGTTTATCAAAACTGATCAATACTCAAAATGTTTTCTACTTCTTCTTTTCCTCTAGTTTCGGGGAAATATTACAAAATTAAAACGATGCATTTACTTTTAACATTCTTTGTAAAATGGTCATTTAAATATTTAAATAGGGTGAAAGGGTAAAAGAAAAATTAGACAATGTTAGTGAACAAAACATACTGACAAATGAGAAATGTCAAAATATTTTGTATGCCCAACCCTACTGAGTGCAGAAACCTGGACAATGAACAAGCAATAAGAAAATGTAACTAAGTCTCTCATCATGTGGACTTACAAAAGAATATGGCTATTTTATGACAAAAGAGACAATCAACAGCAAAACAGGTTCGAAGAGACTAGGTACGAAAAAGAGTTGACGAAGGAAATTAAAAAAGTGAAAATAAAATATTCTGACCAATCTAAAAGAATAATTCTTATAAAAACCATACTGGAGAGGAATTTGCAGGCAAGGGGTAGACAGTGATAGCAGTGGGAGGATAAAATCAAGAGATGGATTAACAAGCTTCAGTTAGAGCACACCAATTGCAAAAGACAGAGCAGCCCAGATTTATACTGGATATGGCATCTGACTGACTGACTGAGAGTGCAAGAAATAACACAAATCAAATAACAACTAGGACTGTTGATGGAGGGAAAAGAACAGACACACACACAGGACCAAATGTTTGCAGTAGTCGACAAAAATAAAGAATGATTATCAACCAACAAGGTCAACATGGAACCACAATTGCTAATATAAGAAAATATGGATAAGAATAGCTATTATGTAAAGACACATGTAAGAAGGAGAATTTAGTTTATTATTCTGATTTATGCATCTCGAGAAAATTGTTTCTCTGTCAAGAACTCCTGCCAAAGTTTCGCTTTCGTAAGACGACGATAATAATAAAAATGAACATTTTTCTTTTATCATTACCTTAAAAAAAAAAATATGCAAATATTTGTTTTCATTCTTGTCCTTTGACCAAAAAAAAAAAAAGGGATATGAACTATTTTAGCCAAAAAATGGTATCGTTAATTTCTAGATTTTCTATGATTTATCATTCCCAGTTTGAATTTAAAAGTCCTTTAAAGGAAGGTGTTTGTGCTGGCTTTAGGAGTCAATCTATAGAAGAATATATAGTTACGGTTTGAGTGGTCAATTTGAGCTTAGTTATACTTCTACACTGTTTCACAAAGAAAATCAAGCTGTCTTAATATTCTGTCTGTGATATAAAATCTATTTATTTATTTTTCCAATGCTGTATGTTATTTCATCTCATTTCCTACCAAAAATGATTAAAGCAATTCAAAAATACAAGGACTTGTTTAGTGTATACATACCAGCAACCTGTTGATAATCATCATAGAGAATCATGCCTACATGAGGATTCAGTGTGGTAAAAGGGTATGCTGAAACAGCAGGCTGGGCTCTTGAAATGGCTCTCAACAAGGATGACTTTCCAGCATTAGGAAAACCTATCTAGGAGAATGAAATGAACAATAAATTTTGTGCAGAAGCATTTATACACACGCAACAGTTCTCTCATAAAGTGTAATGTTTATAGGAAACACTTGGATCCTTAAAGCCACAGAGCCTTTTTTTTTTAACATCTGCTTCTGCTTAAAATTATATTATTATTTTTTTCACAGTAAAAGCATGTTGTCAGCCTGGTTACCTTCTGCTTCTAAATTTGGCTTCGGCATTTTGTTTTATGTAAGTTTGCTTTCCTTAGCTTCTGACTCTCACTAGTCTAGCTGCAGGCAGTCTGATAGGAGTTTTCTTTCTGGAGAACAGCTTTTCACAACTAATGAGCTGCATCTACCTTAAACATTCTGGTTTGTCAGCATAACAGCGCCCCTTTCTGCTTGTTAGCATAAACAGTCCTGACATACACAGACTAAGAGTTGTCCACAAATTATTTGGAACGTGATCAGTTTAAACAAATTCAAAATTAGCCAAGAAAAACTTAATCTTATTCTTTGCATTCCCTTGCTGTAAACTGACAGAAAAGTTCCTGTTGTTTGTCCACTTTTGGACTTGTCTTGTTCCAGAATGCGTTTTGTGTGCACATCTATTTTACACATCTGATTTTCTTTGCAGACTGTTGGTTCCTCGCCTCTCAAGGAGATACACAGTGGACTTTTACGATCTGCTAGTGGCAAATTTTTCTGTATCTCATCAGGTGCAATACTACAGAGTTTATTAAAACACATAACGAAAAACACAAAAATCCTTTCAAAAATGGAATTCAGATATCGATGGCTGCACTGTTGGATGAAGTTTCTGATGCCCACAGCTACTGCTGTTGCATCATACAGCATCAACATGGTGAAAGGTTATCTGAAGCTATTAACTACTCCTTGATAATGCACAATCTCAAGAATGTAAAAAGAAATGATCTAATGACACCGATAAAGCAGCACACCTGCTTTGTTTTCTTTGGCACTGTGAATGATAAATGTTTCCACTGTGATGACTGCACCTTGGATACTGAGTCCAACCTGTAAAGCCAAGTCATCATTAGTGATCACAGTGTTCAGTAAGTTGGTGGTGCTGTTTGCACAGTTCAGCATGGCTTTAAGAAGCTTAGAAATGATGGACAGGGCATGCATTTCTGAGACTTGTCACAGCTTCAAACTTTCAAGAACTAATGTGGTCCATTAATCTGGTTTATGAAGGAGTTCACAGAAGTGACAACACCTTTTAGAGGGATATTTCAGACGGACGCCAGAACATAACTGTGGGAAATAACTGACAGCTTGATGTATGGTGGCCATCCCTTAAATAAAACAATCCTGGCTATTGGAGTGGGAAAGAAAGTATGAAACTGGTCACAATAAATGCAAGCAAGGCTGGATCAAGTGTGTAGATGACCAGGAACACTAATTCAATAGTTTCACAGCTTTACCATATTTCAACCTGTTTCACTGGAAAATACAAAAAATCTGTGTGACCTTTCTAAAATGCTAAATTAAAAAAAATTGTTAAGCGCCATTACTGCAAACTGTGCCTGATTTTTCTTGTAGATTCATGATTTTTAAAAATCTCTTCTCCATGCAATGTACAGGCTTGACATTTTCTTGTATTTTACTTTTAAGAAACAACCATTTCTCTGCAGAGGATTAGAATCTGTCTCTACATTTGACAGACAGATACCCAAAATGTATAGTCACCATATCTATTTTAGCTATTATACCTGAACATGTGAACCTCACACAGTTTTCTACTTTAAAAAATGTAAATGTGACATGATCAACGATATACACACCAGTCCAGCGTGGGCCATTGTTTTTAGTTCCACATGCAATGTTCTACTAACTCCTGCAGCCCCAATTTCAGCAGCTGACGGAGCTCTGTTTTCATTACTTAGGAAAAAATGGTTGCCTTTCCCGCCTGCACCTCCTCTTGCAGCTATGAACAGATCGCCCTCTTTGTCAAGTGATGAAAGGATCTTGCCTTCTGGTGATCTGACCACTGTCCCAAGTGGAACCTGAAATAAAATCATACAGCATTTAAACAGAGTTTTGAAACAGAACACAAGTAGTATACTTTTAAAGATGAGAGCCACATTAATATTAACCTTGATTTGTAATGCAGTTAACTAGAACTACCCCCCCCCCCCCCCCCCCAATCCAAGAGTTTCACAACATGGTTTTGATGTCTTACTGAATTTATTCATTGTGTATTTCTGGCTTTAAATTTGCCTGCTATGTTGCATTTTTAATTGCTCATGCACGTGTGGATCTCAATATATGTAAGATTATAAAGTTTTTAAGTAATAATACAAATTTGTACTTGAAAATTTATATAAACCTTCATATACCCACATGCAATCATCATCATCTATTTCCACTTCTGCCTTAAAGTGACAGAGGAAGGAGCAATTTGCAATTCACTGCTCAATGAGTCACACTGGCTATTTTCAGTCCCTGTGGATACAGAATGTCTTTAATGTCATAATACATCTTTTCCTTGGACATCATCTTGCTTTTTCATGCTGTTCCCACAGTCTGCCTGAAAATATCATTTCTCACTTAGTCATAGATGGTTGTTAAGTAAGCAGCCTTTCCCATTCATCTCACAGGCATTAATTTTATGTAGGTTAGCCTTTGACAATATCTAAGTTTGACATTGGTATGATTTGCAGTTTATGATTTGTTGTCAGGTAGTCTTACTATGCCTGGATGTCTTAAAAATGATGTCAGATGGTGATGCCCTTTGGAATCTTGTTTCTATTCTGCCATCCCCTAAGAATATGTTTCCTACATAAATTCCTTTTTTTGTTGTTGCTTCAAATAAGTACTGTTCAATCCTATATGTTGCTGACTAGTAATTGTGACGTAAATTATTTCACTTTTAACCATATTTATTGTCATGTTCTGAATGTTAAAACATGGACTGTTTAAACCAGTGGTCTCCAGGATTGGAGGGGGGGGGGGGGGGAGGGGGGGGGGGGGGGGGTGGGCGCAAGGATGTTTCAAGGATGGTGTCAATAAATTTGTGAAAATGAGTTTATTTGTAATAATTTGTATTTTGTTTTAGTTCAATTATAAATAAAATTGTTTTAAACCATTTTAAAACGACAAGGACATATCTGTTTTCATGAAGAGTTTGTATATCAACCGTTAAAAATCTAATTAATATGATCTCCTGTCTTTCTCTTCTTAATCATATTTTGTTATGATGGGTGGGGGTCCTTGGCATATACTCAAGGGGGGTGTGGGGGTATTGCCATATACTCAAGGGGGGTGTGGGGGTATTGCCATATACTCAAGGGGGGTCTGGGGGTATTGCCATATACTCAGGGGGCTCTGGGGGTATTGCCATATACTCAAGGGGTGTGTGGGGGTATTGCCATATACTCAAGGGGGGTCTGGGGGTATTGCCGTATACTCAAGGAGGGTCTGGGGGTATTGCCATATACTCAAGGAGGGTCTGGGGGTATTGCCATATACTCAAGGGGGGTGTGGGGGTATTGCCATATACTCAAGGGGGGTGTGGGGGTATTGCCATATACTCAAGGGGGATGTGGGGTATTGCCATATACTCAAGGGGGGTGTGGGGGAATTGCCATATACTCAAGGAGGCATGACCTGAAAAAGGTTGATGACCACTGGTTTAAATGGTCTTGCAGTCTACCCCCCTCAATGTAGAACAGGCAGTGAAAATCTGCAAAATGTAGCTCATTTATCATGTGTGTGTCTAATTCTTCATTTGGTAGGTAAAGTTACTCATTCTGAGGGTTTTTTGGACCAAGTGCATTAAAATTAGCTTTTTCTAGATATTCAATCTATAAAGATATTAATTAAATATGACATGGAAAAGTACATATCCCTGTCTCACTCCTGTATAGATTGTGAACACATCTGATAAGCCTTCTTTTGTTTTTACTTTATTGTTGCTAGTGTGGTTTATGACCATGATGTTATCTATCGATACTGTCTTAGTGTAGTTACCAAATGAAGACTTGTAGGGACTCATAATTTTGAATGCCCTTCGGCAAAGATCTTCTAAATCAGATAAAAACAGCAATGTGGACAACTAAAAAACAAAAGACTCAACTTCTGGACAAGAAAAAAACTGAACAATCTTAAAGAAACAAATATAAATACCAAAGTTAAAAACTCTGCAAACATGGAAAATGAAAGAAATGAAAGGGGAAAAATACACATAAGATAAAAATAATATGATTTTTTGTCATGAATAAACTCCTTAGTGCAGATTAAAAAAAAAAAAAAAAATACAGATCAACTACAAATATATTTATTTAAAAACACAGAGCTGATGTTGGCATCCCAAGCTAAAGATATGAGATGTACAAGTACTTACATACCTCAAGAATATGATGAGGTGCATTTCTACCATCTCTGTGTTTTGTTCTCCCCTTCAAGCCATCTTCAGCTTTTTCAACAGACTTTAGGTGAGCCAGGGATTTTGTACCAACAGCAGCTAAAAAATTTTTAAAGAGGGGTTAAAACTCTATAGCAGATAACTGAAGTAGAATTCTGGTTATACCTTACTATATCACAAACAACATTTCCAGTTTAATGTATATCACACAAGTCTTTAGACATATTTACCATTAAATGATGCAAGACAGAGGGAATCCTGGGCACAAAGATTTAGGATCACATAGCTAGATCAGATGCAACAAACTGTGCATGCTAGGATTATTATTTTGTACAGTATAACGACTTTTGTATTTGAAAAAAGAAGTCACAAACGATAGATTGCACAATTTACTGCCTGGCATATTTCAGGAACAATTGATTAAAATGAAGCAAATAAATGATTCCTTTTAAATGAAACAGAAAATCAACTACACTTTTCCTCTTCTTAGCATTTACTGGTTGTAATACTGGCGGAAAGTTCTGGTTGGTTCCAGAACTTAAATGTTGTGTGAACATCAATTTTACAGATCTGGCTAATATGTATACAGACTGCGGGTTCCTCGCCTCTCAGGCAGATGCACTCCTACTTTGTTGTATATGATTACAGTATGTATAATATGTCAGCTTTGTGGCTAAGTCGATGCGAACACTTCATAATGCCGGGTTCGATCCCAGCTGCAGGCCATGCGCCTTGTGTTTGTTTTGACAGTGGTATCGGGGGGGCCGAAAGTCCAGAAAGCAATGACAAACTACTGGACGTAAATTTGCCTAGAGAAACCACACAACAGCCAGGGGTTGCTGGGGTTGGTTCTGCAACGTCCTGTAAAGGATACGCAACTAACCTTTATGTATAATATGTTCTTTGTCTATTCTCAGTTGTTTAACAACTGGTATCTTGAGACCAACATATGTGCCTAAGACTCCTGTATAGTATGGCAGTAAATTTTTCTAAGGTCTTCAAACAAACAAAATACAAAGCTTTCACTATCTATCAAAATTTTACAACAAAAAAACAAAAAAAACAGTGACATCCTTTCTAAAGATCCTTCAACATGGGAAATAATCTAGGCATACAGCATAGACTTACAGCCTAACTATACAGTCACAACAACAATTCCAGGCATAGACAGAAAGGCTGAAGAATGTGACCTAGTAGTGCATGCAAAGACCCTTGAACATGTCTACAACTGTTGTCCAAAACCCGAATGGACACACATGTGCAACAATGGATCACTGGAGGGAGCAGAAAAAAATGGAGGAGCTGGATCAGTCATCATGCTGCAAGATGGGACCACAGTAGAAACATTATGCGCCTCTGGAAGACTCTCAATAAACTTCAGAGCAGCAAGCAATTATTGATTCAACCAAAGCGCTTGAGGAAAGAAAAATTAAAAACAGCACAATTGTTTTTCTTTGTGACTGCATGTTAGTCCTCCAGGCGACTCATAGGGATCCACGAGACAACAAGGAAAGAGAACTGACCCGTCAGCTCAACAGACTCACAGAAAACAATCAAATCGTTCTCTAATGGATCCCGGCTCACTGCGGCTTACCAGGAAATGAGTTAGTAGACAGGCTTGCAAAAAATGGAACACCCATTCAATGTCATTACCAGAAATCAGAACACTTATCAAAGGAAAATACAAGGGATTGTAGAGAGAGCAAACTAACAGTAAACATCCACAAGACCCCATCAGCAGACTCAACAGAAAGCAACATACAACAATTTTCCGTCTACGAACAGGACACTGCAGGCTCAACTACCACAAGCATTAAAAAAAAAGATTGTACAGTCCCCACAGTGTGCCTGTCAAACAGGACCACAAACACCTCAGCAAATTCTGCAGACCTGCCCCTCTACCTGCAACTCCGAAAAGAGACCTGGCCTCAAAAGCAAAGTGTGCAGAGCAAGCTATGGGGAACCATGCAGGACCTGCAGCTGACATAGGAGTTCATAGAGGCAAACCACCTGATGGTCTGATCTGAGCATATGAAACCGAACATGAAGAAGAAGAAGAAAAGAAAATTCCATTTAGCTTTACACATCACATCATAAACATTCGTGATGACTCTCTGAATCAAACAGAATCATGCACAAAGGTAAACAACGTTGTTTAGAAATCTTGCACCCATTCTGGGAGGTTAGATTTACAAAACAGCTGTTTATAGTTTGAATAAAATTGCAACTACTCAGGAAAATGAACCAAGACTGCTGTGTTGGCATATCAGTGTACTATCAAATATCCTACTAAAGTTGCCTATAGACTGTAAAAAAATGGTGAATAGATACCAGGTAAGACAACACTATAGCAACATTCTTTGCTTTACCTTTTCTGACAAATGAAGGCACTTGTTTCCTTATATACATATGCCTTCTGAGGAGGTGGGATCGAGTGCATATCACCATATAGCTGACAACATGAGCGAAGCATCATGAGATGCAACTTTATGCTTCATTCTGCATGGCAGATTGGTACTGCACTATTTTTACTCAGAAATCATGTGGCAAAAAAAAAAATTTACTTTTCTATGAAAGCGTGACCTAGAAGGACCATTTGTGTGGGTTCAAATCTGTGTGCACATTTCTAATGATGTCAAAGCAAGCTAAAAGTGATTAAAATAAAGTACAGCTTAGGTCCTAAAGTGTGCTGCATTGAATACAGTAAGCATTATATGTGTGAGAACAAACTTTTGGTAGAACAATTTGATGTCACCTCAAACAAAGAAAACCCCAGAATCCCCAGTCTAGTCCACTTTTCTAGGGCGTATGTATTGGGTTGTTGTCAGGTTTATTACATCATCATTCTCAGTTTTTTGTTGTTTTTGCATCATCATTCTCAGTGTGTATGTTTGTCTGGCCTGTTTGGAAACAGCACTCACTCTGATGTCATTGCTTTTCTGCAGCAGCAGCACTGCATCTGTAGGAACAACACCATTTAGCAAGTTCACTGAGAAACAGAAGATGAAATGGTTTGGTCATTTAGTAAGAATGCAGCCAGAACAACTACCCATGCAGGCGCTACACATGAAAGGATCTGAAGTGAAAGCCAGAGGCTGTCCTAGAAAATCTGGTAATCTAGTAATTTTAATTTCAGCTTCATAGCAAACGGGTCACCCCATCTTTGCCCCGCTCCTGTACCAACGAAAAACACACATAATGTTTATTACAGTCCCTTGTGGAAAGACTGACAAACTGCTGTCTCAGCAAATCTAGCATACACTCGCATTAAAAGCATATGGTAGCCATTCGAAGTGCTAACACAAACAGTCTGACGTTAGAAATGCAGTTCATCATTGATGGTAGCAGAAGTCACCAAAAGATCAGCAGTTGCACACGCGATTAATTTTAATCAAACAATGGCCCCACCAATATTGCGACAACCGGCATCGCGCCATTTTCTTAATCTACAAATCACACCACCACGTTGGTCAGTCGAAAAACATTTCGCAGCTCACAGTTTCACGCCATGCACTCAACTCAGAAGCTGGGTAACGAAACTATATACTCACAGTCTACAAATGGAGCAAAAAAGCAACGGCCACAGTCTGGCAGAAGCAACAACAACAAAAAAACAAAAAAAAACATTTTTGCCTCGGCTGAAAACAGTGGCAGTGCCTAGTGTTTATTTGGACCTGAAGCATTATGTGAGGGCTAATAAACTGTCACCCCAGCAGTACCCTACTATTAGCTGGGGAAGGGATTTAGGACATTACATCCACCAGCAAGCGTCGCCCCAACAATGACCTGACTGCCTTTGTTAACGACTGTTCACCCAACAGCCATGCAGTTCTTTGGCACGAAGGAGACACTTTGAACTTGGGTTTCGGACTGCCGACTCCCTACGCGAAGATATATGTGTGCTACTGGTGTCCCGTAGCCAAAATACTATCTCACTGTATTACTAAAATTCAGCACGCATACTCAAACGCGCAGTAGTTAACACACACACATATACATACACTCATTACCTGCCACCCGCTTGCTTGCTGGTGCAGCACACATGACTACATATTTATATAAGTATATATATATTGGAAAAGGGAGAGAGTGAGACAAGGGAAGAATCATGCAGAATGACCACAAATATGTAAGACACTGACACAGGGAATTCCCTATGCACACAAGGTCGGCATGACTGGCTCCAAGAAGGGGACAGTAAATTCAAATGGCTCAGTCAGATCAGATACAGTCCCTGCTGTGACAGAAAGTTGGCTGTAATAAAGGACTGCCGTAGAAAGGTGCACCCAAGGGACGGTTTCAGAAAGAGATGCATACTTTGTGGTAGGGTAATATTGCTTGAAAAATGTAATCTGCAAGCCACCAGGAGTTGCATTCACATTTTCTAGGTTCTAACAATAGTAATACACTAGCGATGATTAATAATCATTACGAGCTCAGCCAATACATGCATAAATCGGCGTAGACATAAAGAGAGAGATGGAGAGAGAGAGTGAGAGAGATCACCGCGTAGCTAATTACAGCAAATGTAAAGCGTTCATTGAGTCCTCTGTTTCGATATCCAAACGTGCTTGTTGTCAGCCATACAGTTCTTGCGTTCATCGATCAAGGCCTGAGAAAATAAAATCAAGTGCTGTAACTCTACGTTCATTTCAAGGTGGCCACGGGGTCGAAGATGGAACTGTTGAAGCAGGGTGCTTAGAGAATGTCGTGTTCTCAAGTGTATCCCGATGTCATCGCGAATAAAGGTGAAATATTTACAAGAAGAGAATTCTGAGTGTCTGAAATAATTCTTCTTCCATTCGTGAACCCGCCTGCGTCAGAACAAATGTTGCTCCATTAAACGGCGTCTAGGTGTCCGAGAGAGCGGGAAGTATATTGGTTGATGGCCTGGTTTCATATTCCACGTTTTACTGGTGTAAGATTTATTGTCCTCTTTCTGTCTCACACAGATAGTAGCGGGAAAGCCGCCTTTAATAACCGTTGGAAATACCGCGCGTATAATGTTCTTCGTAGTATCATTAGAGAATGGGATGGTCCGGATGCCTATAGTTGGTTGAACGAGTCCAGCAGCTAGCCTTTCCCTAGCATTACTATCTTTTAAAAAAGCTGTCCTATCGTAGTCACAAATGTTTGGTTTGTATAATGTGACACTTGCGGGACGTCTCTCGGTTAGCCAGTGTTCTGGGTGGTGATAAATCTCAGTGACGCGGACAAAACGCCCACTGACCTTCGCATCCGTGGTTCATGAGTCTGTATCATCGGCAAATTTCCGCTCAAAATATGTTTGAGAATGCTACAAAAACCACATTTGCATGCAATCATGACATCTAATTGCGTGAAACAATATTTCACTGCACGTCTAACAAAATAACGATTATAATGATAGTAATAACGCTGCTAGTTCACAGGCACAATTAGAATAAAAAATCCAAATAGTAAGAACTAAGAGCTAGGAAAAAACACGTCCTCTCAGTAGGGAGTCGGAGTCCGATTCTAGAAAAATATGGATTGATGACGTTAAAGGGCTACACCGACATGGAATGAAAATAGCCTTTGCAGCCATCAGGTAATGGATCGCAAACTGTTCCTCTCCACAAAGCTTAACAACAGAAGTGAAAACTGATGATGATGATGTTTCTTTCATGGCTCCAGTTATAATCTGCATTTCTTGATTCTGGACCAATTTTGAAAAAGTTTGACTTAGCTACTGTTGCCCAAGCTGCAATACCATATTCAAGGACTGGCCTTACCCGTCCAGTGAACAGCTTATTCAGAACTTTCTCATCAGCTCTCTATGTTGTACCTGCAAGCTTTTTCATAACTGCCATGTTCTTTGCCTTGTTCTTGTTTGACTTGCCTCTCTCTACCTGTGTCTTCCATGTCAGGTGGCAATCAAATGTGACACCTAAGTATTTTAGAGTATTCTCTTGGAGCAGTGTTTTTTCATTTGGCACTAGCTTAACTGGCTGTTTTTCATTTGAGAAGGAGAACACTGTGCATGCTGTTTTCTCTTCCCTAGCCCTGTTTTTGACCATTGTTATCTGTACTAATATTTTCTTCGCTAGTTAATATAGCTAAATTGTCTGCAAGGGATGAGGTGTGAACTCTTGCTGGAAATTTATTTGTCATGTCATTTATATATGATAAGAACAATGTTGGTGACAATACTCACTAACACTAGCATAGTATTGCATCATTGCATTCAAAGCCTTTTTTCCCTTTTAGAATACTGTCAACAACAACAAAAAGAAACACATAGTTATCCGATGGCGAGTTTTTATTAGATTGTAAATAAAATATCGTACTTGGGTATGTGAAAAGCAGACTCAAATGTTGTTTACCGTGTCCAGTGGACATGTGGCGTGAATTGAGTGGGTTTTTGTAATCGTTACAACGCAGTGGTAAATTGTGTTTAAGACCATATTTGTGAGCAAAGCTCACGATGCGTGCACAAGAAAGCAACACAATTTGCATTTAACACAATTCACTGCCTACGCAATTGAAACCCTATAAAAAGATAACGCTACACCAAAACAATCAGTTCATTTTCAAGCAGTCACGAATGGTGCCTCTATCAATAAATTTAAGGAATATTGCTACTAACTGAATGCAGGAAGGAGAAAGTCAAAGTCAGCTTATCAGGCATTTAAATGTGCATCAGAGTACCATCATTCGACTCTGGTACCGGTTCCAAGCCACTGGTTTAGTTGAAGACCCACATCGCAGTGGACGACCCAGAGTGACAACAGCAGCGGAGAATTGCTTTATTCGGCTTTGTCACCTCAGACATAGGTTTACAACAGCTTCCTTAACTGCACAGGCATTGCCTCCAGGACGTCATGTGTCTGATCAAACTGATCTGTTCAGAACATACTGCAAGATGTTAAACTTTGGGCTCGACGACCACACCGAGGACCTGTCCTTACGCGTCGCCACCGCCAAAATCAACTTCTTTGGGCCAACCAACATTGTCCCTGGGCAAGTGACCATCAGTGGAGACGTGTCTCGTTCAGTGACAAATCTTTCTTTTTTGTTGCAGCGTCACAATAGACAGCGTAGGGTCTACTGTAGACGAAATGAAGGTTTAGCCTAAAATTTTGTTGATAAAGCTCTGCTGCACGGTGGTGGAGGTGTAATGGTATGGGGAATGATCAGTTACAATGAAAGGAGTCAATTAGTTCACACTGAAGGAAGCTTGAATGTGCAACGATATGTCCATAAAATTCTTCGACCACATGTCCTTCCATTTTGGTATGCCAACAGATATCTTTTTTAACATGACAAGACTAGATCCCATTCTGCACAGCTGACCACACAGTTCCTGGCTGCCAATAACATTCAGACCCTTCCTTGGCCATCCCAGTCTGCAGACATGAGTGATTGAGCACCTGTGGGATGAGCTGCAAAAACTTCTTTGTCACCAAAACATTGCTCCAGCCAATGGTCGTGACCTGTTCCAGGCACTCCAGGCAGCCATCCCACAGGCCCACATCAGACATATGATCGCATCTATGCCCAGGAGATGCCGGTCACTGATCCACGCAAGAGGAGGCCAAACACCATACTAACGGGAGAGGCCTAGGCTTAAAAACTGTCGTGACCCAAATGCAAAAAAAAAAAAAAAAGGTGTACACTGATTGGTGGAACCCTAAGGTATTCTTCTGTCAAATTTGAGTAATTTCACTTACTGCATTACAAAGATGCAGAATGTCAAAACTGTGAGCATGTTTGTTCCTTTTAGTAACTATGCGTTTCTTTTTTTGAACGGTATATGTTGTTACCCTGTTTAATAGTTGTATGTTACTGGGCCCTTTATTTTTCATGGCTTTTACTAGTTTCCAGTTTGTTTCCATCTTTGTCTAAATTCAGGTTCTTATCTTTTTTCTTGCCAGGAATTTCTAGTTGTTTGATTTAATGTTCTCTTGTACTTTGCTGAAATGGCTTTAAGTGAAATGTTTGCTTTAGCTGTTTCCTCTCAGCTGTCTTCCTTGCCGCTCAAACTCTTGCCTCCAGAATGTGAATTTGTCTATGTAACTCATATGTTTTAACATGACTGAAGTACTAGGATGAGGCTTGATGTTAGATTGTAGGGACCATTGACATTTAACATTATTTTCTGTGACTATTGATCTTGTCTATTTTCATGTTTTTAGTATGTGGCCTTTGTTTTCCTTTATCACATTAAAGGTGAGGTATATATTGTTTTAAAAGGGTTTGCTCGTTCCTTTCTTTGAATTCAGTTCTTGTTACTAATTCACAGATCCAGTTAACTTCCATTAGTTTATTTCTGCTATCAATTTTTCAGACCAATGGCAGCAGGGGCAAGAATAAAGTGTTGAGGGTATTTGGGCTGGAATAGGGCACTAACACAGCTGTAACCTCCCCTGAGTGGTGAGAGAATTCTAAAAACCGAGAAGGATAAATCCTCTCACCAAGTGATATGTGTATTTATGAATAAAATGCCCAGTATGGAACGCAGTAAACTGTCTACTGCTAGATTAAGTATGAATTCTGCTGACTGTTCAAAGAAGGATGCTACACAACTGCTTGACCCCCAAACAGATAACCGAACATCTAGCATTTTCAGACAAAAGCAAATATGTATGAGGCTTTGTAATATAAGATGTCCCAATTTTTCGTTATTTTAAGGCCCCACCCTGGCTGTAGTCGGGGCCTTAATATATCCTAATGGTTGAACAGGGTTTCTGGAGCCTCTCCCCCGGATGGTCCTCATCCACATGGTGACACTTTGTGTCACCGGGTGTTTATCGCTTGGTGGATGTCTGGTGGGGTTGAATTTAATTCATGCCCCATGTGCATGTTAAAAATATGAATAATCTGCAGCGGGTGTTATATAGGCCTGACTATACAAATGTGACCACTGCCCTAACAAAATATATGAGAATTTGAAAACCAGCCCAATAAATAATCTAAGATTTTTGCATACCAAAATTGCACACACACAAATACTCATTCTATTAATTGTAGCTGCATGTGATGATCAATTTGTGTTTCTTTGTGCAAGAGGCATCATATATAGACAGTATTATTTCTCATTTGCTCAACCTTCATGATTACTTTAGTGAAGCCATATAGGTCAGGCCTGCAATGAGCGACAGTTGCTTTGAGAGTGATTCAGCTGTGAGTGAATAGAGGGTCTGGATGATTTTTCTATAAGCAGGGGGAAAACAGATGAACTTCAATGAGGTTGCAACCGGCACCATCAGTATGAGAACTCTTCGCTAGCTACTGAAGAAGGGAATGTAGCATGTGTGGAAATGACCTGAATGCAGCATGTCAATTCTTAATTTATTCAGCCCTTTCACACCACATACATTGACAATAGCTTGGACAATAGAATCTCTTCAGCTCCGGTGGGTATGATGACTTGGTATGTGCCAGACAGAAGTATCCAGACTGAACCTTCCAACATACTGAACAAAAGCAAGGCTTTTTTTCTAAAATAAAAAATTGGTACCAGTACTTACCACAAAGTGTCTAAAATGGTGCTGGCACTCACTATAAAGGTGTTTATTATAGAACACTGAAAGAATGATGCCTAAAAACGATGCTGGTACTGTACAGTGAAAGAAACAAAACAAAAAAACCGGAATAAGAGCGAGTTAAAAAGTCTATACCTTTGAAAATAACATGCCCGCCATTGCCTCCATTTCCACCATCAGGTCCTGCCCATTCCCGGCATGGAAGTGAAAGAAAAGACAGCATGCCGTTACCACCCTTTCCACCACAAACTTCCAGCTGCATATAATCCACGAAATGACGTACCTTGTGGATTTAAAAGGTATAAAAATGTTCAGTGTATGTTACATATGCTACTTTCGAGGGAGAAAAACTTTTACTGATTACAACTGCTGTGAGATCAAGTTAGCTGCTGTGAAATGCAAGTTAGCTGCTGTGAAATCAAATTAGCTGCTAAGAAATCAAATTAGTTGCTATGAAATCAAATTAGCTGCTGTGAGATCAAGTTAGCTGCTGTGAGATCAAGTTAGCTGCTGTGAAATCAAATTAGCTGCTGTGAGATCAAGTTAGCTGCTGTGAGATCAAGTTAGCTGCTGTGAAATCAAATTAGCTGCTGTGAGATCAGGTTAGCTGCTGTGAGATCAAGTTAGCTGCTGTGAGATCAAATTAGCTGCTGTGAGATCAACTTAGCTGCTGTGAGATCAAGTTAGCTGCTGTGAGATCAAGTTAGCTGCTGTGAAATCAAATTAGCCGCTGTGAAATCAAATTAGCTGCTGTGAGATCAGGTTAGCTGCTGTGAAATCAAATAGCTGCTGTGAAATCAAATTAGCTGCTGTGAAATCAAATTAGCTGCTGTGAAATCAAATTACCTGCTGTGAATTCAAATTAGCTGCTGTAAGTTTAAGAATAAGGTGCACAATTACACTAGAAAATGGAGAAGAGCAGTGTGGTTTTGTTGAAGGTAAAGGCACCAACTTCTTTTTCAGTTTGCTTGAAATAGATTATATATACCTGCAATGTTGTCTCTAGTATGAACTTCATTGTCTTTTGTAAAAAGGCACAAACAACGCCATATTTATCTTGAGAATAATTTCAGAAAGAATGACTGACATGAATAGAAATCTTATTTGCGCTTTACTGATTACACTAAAGCATTTGATTATGTGAAACATGAAGAAATTATTAGAATTCTGGAAACCTTAAACGCTGATGGAGAGGGAGGGGGAAGGGGGGGGGGGGGAGAGTGAGAGAGAGGAGAGAGAGAAAGAGAGAATGAAAGAACAAACAAACTTTATTTTCAAAGGGTTACAAATAGGGCACATTCGGCCCTTCTAAGCACTCATTTTTCAGAGTACCAATGCCTGTTATCAAAAATGCATGTTATGGATATAATAAAGAAATATAAATTATAGAATAATGCATATACACATCATGTGTACACAATTGTACACACTCACACACACGTATACATACTCCTTCGAATACATGCACACTCATATACAGACATACGTAATACATACACACATGCATCTACATACATAGACAAACATAAAACACACACACATACATAGACATAAATGCACAAAACACACACACACATACATAGACATAAATGCACAGAAAGAAAACACACACATACATTTCATACATACACACCTATACATGCATCCATGCAAACACACATATACAATCACACATACATACACCAACATATGCCCACAACCACACATTTACACTCACATGAATACATACACACATTTATACATACATTCACATCTTTACACACATACATACATAAATGCGCACACATACTTACACAGCTAAATATGCATACATACATCCACCAACATGCATACATAATACATACACACATAGGGGAGGGAGCGAGAGAGAGAGAGAGAGAGAGAGAGAGAGAGAGAGAGAGAGAGAGAGAGAGAGAGAGAGAGAGAGAGAGAGAGAGAGAGAGGGAAACAATACAAGATGATTCTTGACAGTGTTTCATCATGGCGTGCAGAGGACAACATATGAACTGATACATGCTGCTGAAGGTGGCAGATTGAGAAAAGGCATGAAAGCCCACGCCAGTCAGCAAGGCCCTTGATAATAGCTGTACCGAATATTCGCTTTGCATTCGCTTCGGGGCCGAATAGTTACGGTCGGGTCGAATACAAATAGTGGTTACCTTACTCCCGTTTCTGCATACACTGTGATGGACTAAAATAACTCTCTCATTAACACAATAGTTGATGTTGCCTAAGTCTGTCCTAGCAGAGGAAACTGTGACCCGGTTGCGTGGTATAAACTGCATAAAATGCCAACAGCACTGTATGTGTGTGTGTCTGTGTGTGTGAGAGAGAGAGGGAGAGAGAGATCGTGCATTTTTCGTTCTTTCAGGGTGTCTTCGCCCAAATCAAATTTGCAGATATTGCTAACGAGAATATGAAGGTGAGTTTAAATTACATCGAACGAACGGCCGAGCGAACGATGGTTTTGAAAGACGCGGGAGCCCTAATACAACTAATCACAGACATTAGAAGGAGACAGTCTTCATTTTTCAGCCATGTTATAAGAAGAGGAAAAATGGAACATTTGGTGACCACTGGAAAGATCTGTGGAAGGAGGGATAGAGGAAGACAACAATAGAAGATTCTTGACAGTCTTGTTGCATGGCATGGAGGTATGTAAGCACACGAACTGATACATGCTGCTGGAGATAGCAGATTGTGGAGAGGCATGATTGCCTATGCTAGTCAGCAAGGCACCTGATGATGATGATGATACACTATTTGTATTTGTATTCGGCCGAATAGTGAAAATCACTATTCGGTACAGCCCTAATAATGATGATGATGATAAACATCAAACTGTTCAGAGAACAACAGTTAATTAGTAAATGTAATTGCCCAGTCAAACTACAGACGGGCTCACATAGTCTGAGAGGTTTGTGCCATCCTGTAAAAGACATGCAAAAAACTTTTTTTTAATGAGAAGAGGAAAAAAAAAATTGGAACATTTAACTGAAAATATCTGTGGAAAGAGACAAAGATACAGACAATGAGAGAAAATTCTTGACAGCCAGTGGTCATAGAACAGAAAATTGTCGGATCAAGCTGACATATGCTGTTGGAGATCATAAGATGTATGATCATTCCAATTAGTTGGCAAAGCACTTGACTGATGACAATGAGTCCCTTTTGGACAGAGGATATTTTTAAAATGCTTTTTATATTCGTCATGTGATTTGAATATTTATATTATATTCCATGGGATTTCCCTTTATGTGCTTTTCAATTTCATTCTTTGAATGAATTTTACCTGCAGTTGTGCAGGAAGAAAAGTTAAGTGCACTAAAAAAAGTGGTCACATTACAGTTGTGTTTGTAAACACATTTATGAGGAAGCTAAAATTACATTCAGCCAAAAAGTGAAACCTGCTGTTTGATGTCCAGAATATTAGGCATGGGTGTTTGTGAGGACATCACACTCTTCTGGGTCAACTCAGTGAATCAAAATCCTTGCACAATTTATTGGTCTTACTATGCCCCTCCCCCCACAAACAGAGAGAGAGAGCGAGAGAGAGAGAAAAAGAGAGAGAGAGAGAGAGAGAGAGGAGAGATAGTACCATTTGTACTAGGATACTGTGTCTTTTTGTATGTATCTAATTAGCCATCCAGTATTAGCTGGCTGAACTTTGTAGCATCTGACATACACTGATTTATACAAATGGAATTTGTGACTGTACTTACTGTGTCTTTATAATACTTATGTTCCACCTGACTCATCAGTTTCATCAATAATTTAATGAAGTGATATGCTGAATAAAAATTACACTAAAAACTGTTTACAGATTTAGACTTAGAAATTGCTGGTGTTTTGTAGGTGCAACTTAACTGTAGGCACACATTATCATTAAGCTGTGCAAGGTACGAATTTAAAGACTTGGTTGACCACCTATGTGGGTCTATAATAATATCAATTGGTTTTTGAGTAAATAGAGTAAGCACTCCTTGCTAGCGAATGTGTTGCCCAGGACAAGAGTTATAAAAAAATATAAATCCTCACATTCTGAGCCCTAATAATGCTAGTAAGCATATGTAATATAAATCTTCCAACAACCAATAAATGTACAAAGGAAAAAAAAAAAGAAATAAACATGAAAACAGTGTTACTTACTTTTCTATATGTAACACCTTTGAACTTCTTGGGCTTCACAGGTTTTGCTACAGTGTGGTAACATGCAGTGCAAAATACTCCTTCATACAGGACAGTTCTAGGTAATACCACAGAGGCACTAGCCAAACTTGCAAAAATAGTCTTAAAGCCACAATAAGCAATCATCTTATCTGGTAATGAAATAATACTTAATGATAACCACGGTTATGTAACTAACTGTTCATGTGACAACTTTAAAAACTCAAAATACATTTAAATAGTTTTTTTTTCAAAATAACTATTTTACAAAACAAAAACAGCTTTTCGTGCTGAATTTTTTTTTCTGACAACAAATAATATAATTAAGATTTTCTCATACATTATACTGATAAGCAATTAGTATTAGCTATTTCTCAATTTGTCTACTGAGTTTTACATGTATATACCAGCATAGGCTCTACTGACACTTTAGTACTTTTTTTTTTTCTCACTACAATGTATGACACAAATAACTCAATAATTGATGTTCTCATCATACTGATCATAAGTAATATCAATTACCAATAAAATATTTTTCAGCTTGTCTACTTAGTGGATAGCGTTCTTGGCTTTTTTGGGGTAAGGATGCCAATTTAGGCAATTTCAAAATGCTTCAACAGCTAGACTGCTAGAAATTGAAAAGAATACCAAACAGACTTCTGACCCAGTTTTCTTTTAATTTAAAAACAAAAATCCACCACATGCAAAAGGTCAATACACTAACAATAAAATGATCGATGTCTGTATGACGATTCTTCATGAATATCAACACAATGTACAGCTCTGAAGCCTTTATACTTTATGTGTGAGGAAGTACATCTTAGACCAGTTTTACTTCAAATATTTATTTAGTAAGTCTCTTTGGCAAAGACTTAGCAGTTATAGGATATCAATTATAAAAAAAAAAGTAAGTTTTAACTATATGAATATGTGTTCAGTTCAAACTCAAACACTTATTTATCAGCATTAAACGTGTGCTGCTAGACTGCAGTCCTGCCTCTAAAGAAAACCAACATATGGTTAATGATACCAGCATGTACTGGTGTCTTTGATTCACAATGAAAATTAAACACACATGCGCGTCATGTGTTTGACCTATAGTAGTAGTTCAAGTTGGCTTGCTAGCATTACAATTATTAATATTATTTAAAAAAAAAAAAAAAACCTGCGTGCCGTTCGTGGTGTACGTCACGTTCACTTGTATTTAAATTAAGCTACAAGAATTGTGTCGTAATTCGGTAGACTCTGAACTCTCTGTGACTGTCAGAGATTGGAGTGCATGGATTATACGATAAAACGTCGTTATCAGTCGGTCATATGGCTATATCTATGCTATGGCTATCGAATTCGGTTTTGTGTGGTAACTGTTTATAATCCTAAAACAACTGCAGAGACCACCAATTACGACATATTTATTAAACTGCTGGAAAGCAGCATAATATAATAGGTGACATTTCACGTAACACAGCAGTTCAGCGTGAGCTTCTTATTTGAAAATATAAAGATGACTTTCTGTGAAAAATTAAACTAATTTAATAATAATTTATGATATTCCTTTTTATTATATAAAATATAATTTGATAATGACTCACAGCGAGTAAAGAAACAACCTTGCTCGGACAATGCTGTAAGTTGTATCTTAAATAACAACGCTATTATTTGACAATGTTTAGTTACAAGTCAGAGTAAAGAGACCTTTCAATGTTGACTTTCATTCAGTGTCTACCAGTTTCAACCAATCGGAATCAGCCTCCACAGTAACTGCATCAGGCCAGAAATTGTTGTGCAGAACGCAATAGACTCAGGAGAGCTAGAATCAAACTACACAACCATGGGGGTAAAGTCAGCAACAGAAATTATCACACATTCCATGACAGAGGAAGACCCCAATAAAAATATACAATATTCAGAGGGGGAATTAGCGAAAAAGCCCAGATGGGGTCCAGAACATGCAGGTGCAAAGGAACTGGCCAGCAAATATACTGCCGGTAAGAACTGGTTTATTTCTTTAAAAAATAGATTCAATTAATAATAAATATAATCATTATTTATCCCATTGTTGTTATATGTTACTGAAGGTGAAGGTAATTAATTATATATGTTTAAGGCTTCTTTAGTCACCTCTAATTACTTCATATTTATAAAAATTTGTACGAGAAATCAGAAAGAACGAGCTGTCGGTTTCCAAGGCCAAGATTTTTTCAGCGTTTTTTTTTTTATTATAACTGAACTAGCATAATTCTGTGGGAGGGGCAGGTTTGGTCGAAACAACACTATTCGATCCCCGTGTGGGTTCCCTGCACCCCATGAAAAGGGGAAGGAGGTAAAATCATTGTTGCTCAACAGTACTTGCATGCCGTAAAAAGCGACCGATTAACGAAATCAAAATATGGGATCAAAATGTGCAGATATGGCAACCTAGCTCTGGAAACCAAAACAGTCACAAGGTACCTACATAATTTTCAGGGGAACACTGCCAAGAAGAGAAGATCTCCAAAGTCTCTAAAGTCAATGTTTTCAGAGATAGGCTATCCTTCGAATAACGGGCACTAAAGATGGCGGCCGCAAAATATCCTTTCGAGCCACGTGTCAGTTGTGCACTTCCGGCGACTTAATTTGCACTAAAGATGGCGGCCGCAAAATATCCTTTCGCAGTCACGTGTCAGTTGTGCACTTCCGGCGACTTAATTTGCGGTTTTCCGGCAACTGACGCTACCGCCACGTGTCCCCCACGCCGCTCACGGGGCTTGGATTGGGACTAAACTAGATGGCTAGGACTCATGAGCAGCAGCTTCCGCATGTCCTGCAGCTTTGCTCGTGAGTCCTAGCCATCTAGTTTACGAGGGGGACACGTGGCGGTGGCGATAGTCGTCGGAAGTGCGCAATTGACACGTGACTGCGGCTCAAAAGGATATTTTGCAGCCGCCATCTTTAGTGCCCATTATTCGAAGGATAGCCCAAAGATATTTTCATAGTTGACAAATTTAAAAAACAAAAACACAAGTAGAGGCATGGGGTTCACATCCCATGGTGATGGCAGTGTGACTAGCAAGACCCTCGTGTGTTAGGAAAACTCGTCCACATTAAAGCATGGGATTTCAGGACCATTTCACCTTTATATGTGTCTCAGACATTCAACTCTCCTTTCAGCAATCATTTCTTACTTCATAGATACTACCAATACTGTAATAACTTTGAATTTTTTTATTTTTAAATCTATTATTAATTTATTATAAAACAAATTTCCTAGTACTGGAAAGCTCATCCAGCCTCAGGTTTTTGTTTATTCTAACTGGAGATGTTCCTCATTTTTTCCATCGCTAATTTAATTTATGTTATAAAAAACTGTCATTGTTGCTAACACCTTTCTGTCTTTCCAGATAATAGAGTTAGTGTTACATTGTGCTGTAGCTAAGCATGTGATTCACAGCCCATGGCGATGGTAGACCGTTACTCAATAAGAGGTCATCCACAATTAACTCTTTGAGTCCCAGGGGGTTTTCATCAGAGGTCCAAGAGGGGGGGGGGGGATATTATTTTGACTTTTTAACAAATGCAGCACTTTAAAACAAACCACACAACTGCAGCTGATGTCCAACATACACATATCAAACATAAAATTAAACATAAATGGATAAGGATTAATTTTAGCATACTGCTACAACAAACAATTATACTGTTAGTATTTAGTAGAGAAAACAGTGACTTAGTTTGAGAGGTGAGTAAATTATGAACAAGTTTTTTCCACTTACCCAGAAGCTGATCCCAAAATTCTTGATATAGTATATTCAAAATGCATCACAAAGGAAGGTACACCACTTATAAGTATGCACAACCAATATTAAAGCAAAATTTGCAATAGTTGTTGTTCCATAGCAATTTTAATAACACTATAATAACACGTCAAAATATATTCTCCAGTGGCACAAACAGTGACTTTTCTAAAAACAATTGAATTCCTCACATAGAAAAAACTGTAAAGGCACTGTAAACATGTAAACCTGTTCATAGATATATATCTATGGTTTTAGATGATATGGATAGTAGTACTAAAAGCGCTGACATTTGGACTAGCTGGTGTCGCGTTACGATGTGCTTCTCTTGTGTTGCCATGGCAGAATTAGTCAGTTTTGTCCTCTTAGCAGGAGGTAAATTACGCACACATCCTCATCAAAACTGACAAATCTTGGTAGCTGGTTGTGAGATCGCACAGCCTATAGCCTTCTGTCGTCTAGTTTGAGTTTTCACTTAGTTATTCTAAGTAAGTTTTCTTTATTTGTACTAAACAAATTTAAGTTGCAATTCTTAGTGAGTGGTTCAGTTTACATCCGCTCCTTTTGGGCATTCTGTCTCATCTCTCATGTGTCTGTGTTTCCCAAAAGCGATCTCCTTCCTGAAATCAGTTTCCCCTTAATTGGCTGCACCTGTGCTCAGAATTGTTCTCTTCCTCATGCAAGAGCATATTTCCTGTCAGTAGTTGTCTATCCTTCCATGTAATTACAGTCTGAGGGCCAGGAGTTAGTTAGGTTTTATCGGGTACTCTGTCTCCTTTCTGTGCGTCTTTTCTATATTTAATTTCTTCGGCATAAGTGTGTCTGTGGATTTAGTCAGTCTAATTATGCATCGCCACATGTCGAATGTCCTGTGCTGTCTCTTTTATATGAACCTTACTTTCATCAAGAAAGGGGGGACACCAGGCCCTTAGCCATGGTTGGCAGCTGGTCTATGAGGAAAGCCCTGACATGTGGACAGGTGCGGGGGGGGGGGGGGGGGGGGGGCTTTATCTCTATTACAGTTGCAAACCTCTATTTTATGGTGGGGCATACCAGGCCCTTAGCCATGGCTTGCAGCTGGTCCATGAGGAAAGCCCTGACACGTGAACACTGCTCTTCTGATCCAACAGTTTCTGCAGTTTGCTTATACCAAATGTACTGGTATTACCTTTCCTTTGGAGTAAACAAGGCGGGCTGAGGTAGGAGGGATCATGATGCGTGGCCAAAACATGGTCTCTATAATAGTGCCCTGGCTTTAGAGAGGACGAACTTCATCCCTGGTCCTAACTGGTCTCAGAAACAAATTGAGAGGCAGCAGTTACGGGTTATATGTCCTTGTCAGGTGGTGTAAACAAGGGCACCACGTGTTATCTCTGACGATATGAGACATTTTCAAATATCACAGATAAGCTATTGCCTGCCTCAAGTTGGACACCCTCAACCGAAAAGATGGTGATTCGCAACAACAACATGTGCTTTGATTTGTGCTTGGAGCTAGCACAGAATCTGAATCGCAGGCTATAAAAACCAGTGAAGCAGGCAAAAAAAAGGAAACATAACTTCAGGCTTCTGCCACATGGAATGTCAGGACCGTGTATCACAACTTTTCTGCTGACCTGGAAAACATTAATTATGTTAGAAAAGCGGCTATCGTTGATGCTAAGCGCAGTAAACCAGACATAAAAATTGTTGGCTAGGGGATGAGTCCATCAGAAAAGAAAAAAAATTAAACATGGTTTTTTTTGGGAAAAGGTCGGATGTGCAGTTAAAAAATTCTTGTTGGAAATCAGTTTAAGAGTCAGACTGGCTGAAATTACAAAGTATTATCCCTATGATTGTCTACCTCAAGCAGTTTTAGCCCCCTTGTTCCTGCATATGCACCCACACTAACATCAACGGGGGATGCAAAGGACCCCTTTTGTGGGGAATTAGATAATGCAGTGACAAAAATCCCCATATCTGACTGCATCTACATACTTGGTGATTTTAATGTTCACGTGGGGTTGGTTTCAAACTCATGGCCAGTTTGCCTTGGTAAACATACTGTTGGCAGCATGAATGAAAATGGACAAAGACTTTTAGAATTCTGGACTAGAAGTCACCTGTGCATCACAAACTAATTTTTCAGAACCGGCACCAGTTGGACATAAATAATCACAGAGAGGCAGCACCTGAACCATATGTCACTAACTCGCAGCTACCACAGTGCTGACTGTGACACTGACCATTCCCTAGTTTCTACAAGAGTTTGACTGAAGGCAAAGAGAATTTTCACTTCAAGAAACAAATCTATCCCTAGGTTAAATATTTCTGAAACTAAAGATTCTGGAAAGTTTTTGAGCTCCAACAACAGTTCAGTGATGCTTTCATCGATATCCAAGACAATTACAGAAAGTTTAAAATGAGATGCCGTTAAGAAACCTGTCTACAAAACAGCAGCAACAGTCAGTGGGATCAGAGAATGTAAAACTAAGGAGTAGTTTGAAGCAAATCGACACTGCAATCTTTAATTGAAAGGGAAAAGTTAATACTTCTCAGAAACAAGAAAAGAACCAACAAGGAATAAACACTTTCAGTTTTTAAGAGAAGAGCTAGAAATCATTTACAAAAAGTAGCTAGACAGTGTGCCAGTGACTGCTGGATCCAGTTATATGAAAGCCTTCTTCTTTGTCAACCAGCTGTAAGCTTCAGCGGAAAGTCCTGGCTCATCCATTCAGACTCTGGCTTTGTGACAGGCCCTGAGTGTACATCCATTTTTACTGTACTGGACTGGTACCATCAGTATTGGAACTCTGGCGGCTGAAGATAAGGATGGAGCACACATGGGAATGCCCCGAGTGCTATGATATCAATTCTTGACTCAACTCAACCCGTTTTACTGGCTTTTTTTGTTTTTGTGTGCAGTTATTTCTCCTTGATGCTAAAGCAGATGTACTTCAACTTCATAGAAAGTCCCCAATTAGTCAACTTCCACAACATGTTTGTTGGTGAGGCAGTGGTTCTGTTCTTGTTTTCTGCACAATAGGGCCCAGAAAACCCACAGGGGGATGAAAGTGTTTGTAATGCTACTAGCAGTAGAAATGTTAGAGGAATGTATGATGGGATACTGTCACATATCACTCCTGTCACGTGCCGGATTTAAGGATTTCTCCTTAAGAACCAACAGCGCTCAGAAATAATTATGTTGAGTCGTTTGGCTCATATTGGTCTAAGGG